TAGTGGGGGCTGCTCAGAGGAGACCAGCAGGATTGAGTGGACACTGTGGACCCACTTCATTTTTCCCTAGGTTACAGTGGATATGCTGAAGTGCTGCAGCCCTCAATTAGACAACTTCTCTTCTCAGATTATTGATTACGGAGGTGAAAATAGAAGATACCAAAAGTCCATGACTGTTTTGTTTGCTTAAACACTCTCTAGTGTTTTGTGGATTTCACTGATTCCCCCCTTTTTAATCTAGCTTTCTGTTATTTTATGCCTTTGCCTTTTTACGATACGTACTTCTAAAGTCTGGGGTAATACAAATTTATCCCACCACGTTATCTCCCAAACGGTAACACTCCTACTTAAAGGGGTGTATGAAGTAATCATTCTGTTAATTCAGGCTAAAAACCCACATTTACCGGTAACACCCAATTAATGAGGCAAAAGTGCTTTCTTGGCCTGAATCATGCCCTTCAATTTCAACATAAAAACAACCTTATTCTAATTTTCCGCTGATAAACCTTTATTGTCAACAGAACAACAGGGGGATAGAAAAAAGCAATGTATGATGTTTTAGTCACCTATGCCCCAAAATATAGATGCAGCAGAATAAAAAGGCATTGCCTTAAACACAAATAATGAGTGAATCATTATAAAAACTTTTAAACAAAATCAAGGAATTTGCACAGGAAAAAAACAGTGTATATACCCACAGAAAAGCACTTAGCTAAAAAATAATTATATGTAAATTAAAAAAATAAAGTGCACCATCCATACTCATTATGCCAACAAAAATTACAAAAACTATAAAGTTCCATATTGGCGGATTGTGTGGAAACATATTCAAACACTGCATTTGGCATTTTAAATGAGTATAGAGTTTTAGGAGATCAATTTGGCACTGCACAAGTCACTAAAAATGATCATACTCTTTGATGATGCATCCAGCACTTTGGGCTTGAAGACATTCCAATGAAATAACAAAAATAAAAACAACACCACTCAGAAGGAAAAAAAATGTTTGTACTGGGTAAGCATAGGCACAGAGGAAAAAAGTACTTCTGCTATATTTCACAGATAAAAAAGGCAAATCCCTCATAGATGTGACTTGAGAAGGTTATTGCACTCAGGATAAAACACAGGAGAAGCAGGCAGATACATAAAAAAGGACTTACAAAGTAATACAGAATGCACAATAATAGCAACTTGCTTGAGGCCATGCAGCTAATCAGCATTTGGTGATAGTGAATTTTGCTACTTATATTTAAGCTGGTCTTGATTTTGGTGCCTACTTTTTGCTACCTGATATTGGAATTATGTAAACATTTGGGAACGGAGTGGGAAATAAGACAATTTCTGAACCTCAGATTCTTACCAAGTTTTAGGCAATTTGGGCCTTCACAGCTCTGAATCACTACCCTCATTTCAGTCACTCAGAAAAAAACTGGAGAGTGCTATGGGGAACCTAATGACTCAGGGCAGCTGACTCCTCTTAATGAACTGGAACCTCCATCAAGTGGGAAGCTCCCGGCAGCATGCGGGAACGTCCCCTCTGACACCATTTTAGAGCCCATCACTTTTACCCCTCAGCCCTAAATGAGAGGGGGTGGGCAATGGAAGATTCCATCACCTCAGAAAACATTTCCTTAGTGTCACTTATGCCTTTTCTAGGGATAAGAGAACTGGTTCTCGATACTTTATAAGATGGTGAGAACACTCCCACTTAACCTACTTTGGATTCCTTTTGGAGAGAGAAATTTGGGCTTTCTGCCCTACCATTAAGGGTAAGAGAGGATCACAGTCTGTGTTTCTTGCCATTTTCAGGCCTCAAATGTGGGACTTACTGTTGGGCACATGGAGTCACTAGACAGCCAAGTGACAAGCAAGGAAGGCTGCAGGTGCCATGGTTCTTGACTTCAACAGCCTTACAACACACACTGTTCTAGTTTCTCATCACCAAGGAAATTGATTCTTGGGCTCCTACAGTGCTTTCTCCTTTAGATCCATATTTACATTCTCCACCTTTGTTGAAAAACTTCAGATACAGGTCTGCAAATAACAGGCTTAGGAATGAACTTGGCTACAGGAGCTACAGAAAAAGAGATCAATAAAGCCAACCGTGTGCAATTTGGTGGCCACAGAACTTCCCAGAAGAGAAAGACAAAGGAGAAAAAAGGCCCAATATGTTAACAAGTGAATTTCTTTCATTTTACTTGGCATCTAAAGGTAAAGTACCTTAATTACTTAAATCTTTACAGTAAGTTTAAATTTATAGTTTATAAGCTATTCTGAAATCTGCCCTGTTTAACAATCTGTAACGTCAAGAAAACATTTTAAAGTGTCTCTCACAATTAAACCCATCTACAACTTTGTATAAATCAAAATTTTGCTACCATATCAAAATGTTCCACTGGGGCTGTCTAAGATTGCCCACATCCTCATTACATGCAACACTAATTACTACCAGCAGATTCAGAATTTTCTGCACATTAGAGGCTTTTAGAGGAGCTATAAAAAATTTCAGGCACCATTAATTTAAATTTGTATTGAAATTTCCTTTTGACAGATGGCCAAAAATTACTTATTATTTAGAGTACCAGAGCTGCCTGTTTGCACATTAGAAGAGGAAAGGGAAAAATTAAAAGCAAGAAGGAAATTTATGTCACGTTCATTACCTGTTAAATGTTAAGGAGCATTATCTTGCATAAATAAATTATTTCATATGAGCTCGGCTCCAGCTGCAGGCAACTGGCACGCTCTGGCTGATAAAAACCACCTAGAGTCACACAGCAGACAATCATAAAAAGCCCCCTCTTAACCAGGAACCACTTATGAGAGGACGATCGATGGAACAAGCAACTAAAACTGCTTCTCTGAGCATCACAGAACACATTCAGAAAAACAAGCAAACTATCTCACCTTGTAGAACTATAGTACAGCCCCAGACTTGACGTAATACAACTTCAAATTTGAGAATGGTACCCAACCAAAACATCTATTTATAGATGCCATCCCATAATAAATCAAGGCAAAATCATCAGCCTTTCTTGTTTTTCCCTGGCTTCTAGCTATACAGATACTCATTTCCAGGCTCACCCTGAATGATTACAGATGATTTCAAAACACATCCTTACTCTTGCATGAGGGAATAAGAAAATGTAATTGACACAAAAGTGTGCACCAAAGTATAAATATTTTCACAGTCTTCTGGGAGTGGAGGCTTTTGTTTAGTTCACTGGACTGCCTAAAGGTATATATTTATAATAAGAAGGCAGGGAATGTTTATATTATGACCTCAGAATAACTAGATAGGCTTTCAAAGGCTGGTATCAGTTAATCCTAGTCACTGCATTTACTTACTACTTCCTAAGTACACATGTGTGAAACACTTAATATACTTTGATTAAGAATGCTTTTTTAATCTAGGTACTGATATGTATATGATACAACAAAATACACAATGGCAAATGCATAATTAAATAATTCAATGTGTTCAGTTCTAATTGTAAATGTTGACATTTACATGGAAGTGCAGATGCCCTTTCAAATTACAAAGATTCTTGAAGGGTAAAACAGATAGGCTCAAGTTTTATTTTCCATTACTTAAGGGCACTGAAAAAAAAATTCCTTTTCACTGTAAAATGACAATGAGTAAAAAGGCATTCAGTGCTAGCACAGTGGTTTTGGGAGAAAATTTTAGCATTCATATACATAGCTCCATTAAAAACTGCAAGATATAACTACCTATACTCCAAAACATTCAACTGATGTAAAAGATAAAGAAACAGACAGCATTTTTACCTCAGCCAATGGTTGAGAACTGTCCTTTCCTTCTAACCAATAAGTAGCACAATGGCATATGTAATACAATTATGCATAATACAATGGTGTATGTACGTAGGTATCTGTGTGTTTATTTTTTGAGACAGAGTCTCACTCTGTCGCCAGGCTGGAGTGCAGTGGCGCTATCTCGGCTCACTGCAACCTCCGCCGCCCGAATTCAAGCTATTCTCCTGCCTCAGACTCTCGAGTAGCTGGGACTACAGGCACAAGCCACCACGCCCAGCTAATTTTTGTATTTTTACTAGAGACGGGGTTTCACCATGTTGGCCAGGATGGTCTCTATCTCTTGATCTTGCGATCCACCCACCTTCGGCCTCCCAAAGTGCTAGGATCACAGGCGTGAGCCACCGCGCCCAGCCTACAATGGTGTATTTATATTGTGTCTGGTTCGTAAGCGATTACATCAATTTTCATGCTTTACTCATTTCCTGCCATGGCAGTCTATTTTTCTTGTTTGCTTACTAAATAAATTCAGGTATCCTTAGCACATCCCATTGTGGAGGTATAGAAGCATATCCAAACCATTAGACCCTAAATACTTATCCTCTTTCCCTACAACTTGTCTATAAAGAGATACAAAAGGCAGATAAGACAGATGCAAAACCTAAAGAGAATTAACTTGTTATACCAAATACCAAAATGTTAATTTGAAAGAAAAGTTGGTGAAAAAAAGTCACTTAAATTTGAAAGAGAAAATTATTTCCAGTGGTTAAGGAAAAAAAAAAAAATGCACCATTCACTTAAACAAATGTTTTGATAAATTTTGTAAGTTGGAACTGTTCCCTCAAATATGAAACTAATATGTATTTCCTTACAAACCAATTTATTTAATTCATTTCATTATTATCTTACAGCCAAAGCCTAAGTGAAGAAAAGCAGTTTGTTTGTTTTTTTTTTTCACACGGCAAATAATAAAACGAGCAATGCAAGCCAGATCTTGCAATTCAACCCGGGTCAACACATGTGATTCTGATAGAGAAATGGGACCTTAAAAACAAATAACAAACAAACAAAAAAAACCACACATCTGAAAGTAATTTAAAAAATGCAGTTAACCACCACTAACCAATGAAATCATTCTCTACATCTCAAAGAATTCTTTACTAGATTCATTCAAATCATTTACAGCTCTTTTATAAGCCATTCCTCAGTCTGTAAATTTTGAGTCTTACCTTGATGGAGTCTCTGTCTATATGTAAAACAGCAGCAACACAAGAAGATAAAGTGGTGGGAAGAAGAAAAGAAAAGTACTAGTTAGTTTACATAAAATCATACTAATTTATCGAACTTGATCTCTGCTAAATAATACATTACACAGAGGTCAACTGTGCTGTAAAGTTAATTATTAATACTGCACAACCAAATTCATAAAGTACCAATCTACCTTTGATACAATTTCAGAAGAACCAAAGCTGGACATTCTTATTATCTGTGCTCCTTACAGACTTTTTCCAAGTGTTTACAATCTTGCATCAACTCTGTACCACAGCATTAAGATAACTGGGTGACAAATCACAGTGTTTCTAACATCAGAGATGGACATTTACGCATCTGAGATAAAAATCACTGACCTAATATTTTAATTCATAGTAAGGATGCTGAAACGGGGATATGAGCTTTTAATTACGAACCACACCCTTCGAGCCAACGAACCACCCGTGTGCTAAGTAAATTCCCAGGAGGGACTTTTTCATCTGCATTTCTGTCATTAATAAAAATTATCAGTAAGCACCACAGAAAAACAACAGTCACATCACAACGTTTCTGCACTATCATCTACCTTAGTGGAGGAAGGAAATCAACCTAGAAGGAGCACAACTGGCCTTTAAATCAATTAATTGCATAAACAATTATGTTGGTCTTATAGGAAGAAATTAGTTAATTTCATGCTTCTAAACAGACTGGGTGAGACAGTTAAACCAACAGATTTCATTAATTTGATCTGTACCTTCTTAATTACTAAGACTACTGAAATTATTTTCTTACCTGTGAGATTTTTACTGCTCTATATAGGCTCATTTGTTTATAAATAATAATTGATTTGGTCAAATATCAAGTGAGCATTTATCAGCAAGACATTCCCCAAAATAAATTCAGTCAAAACTAACTATTAATGCAACACGCTACTTCAAACAGAGCATCATGGGATTTCATTACTGATTTAGACCTGGGGAACATAGGAGGCAGCAAGAAATCAAAGGCAATAGCCAGAAACAGGCCCCTCTGCCTCTGGGGAGTACGTTAGCTCTTGCCAAACACTAGAATATCGTTTGGCAACTGACTACTTGCAGTAATTAATTTACCTTCCAGTAGAAATCCATTGTTTAGTCACCGGTAAAACTAAATTCAGAGAGCATAAACAACAGCATCCAGAACCTACCCTCAGCAGCAGGTAGGTTATCTCAGATTGGCATCCCAAGACAGTCACTCACCTCTTTGGTGATCATTGTCATGGTGCTTCTTCTCATCTTTAATTGGAAGATGGGACTGACCTCCTAGAGCACTGGAGAGGGCCAGAAGCCCGGCACTGCTACCGATGGGTGGAATGGCAGGGGGCTGGAGCCCTGAAGGGTGTGGAGTCAGAGGTACGGGTAGACCATGTCCATGTGATAAATGCTGGGCCTGGAGTTGCTGCTGCTGTGAAAAATTAAACACAGATATTGAATTTGCCCCTTATATCCAACCCCTGCCCCAACAGAAACAGAAAGGAGGCACAACTAGGCAGTAAAAAAGCCAACACCTATGCAAGATTTATCATTAACATATCTATTTTTAAAAGGGGGACAGAGCAAAGGAGATGTATAGTCAATAAACACTACCTTTCTTATACTTGGAGGTTTTGCACATGCGAAATAAGTAATTTTTAAGTGGTGAAATTATGTAAGAAACTTTCAATAGTTGATATTCAAACATATTTAACAAACCTCATAAAGGCTTTTTTAATCTCAAAAAAATAAAATAAGGCCTCACGATCATACATTTCTAATCAAAACATATACATGAGTAACTGTTAAAGCAGTTATGTTGAATAAAAAAAGCTGAAAATTGAGAAAATTAGTGTTAAACAGTTCTCCCAGAACCACCGCACAGCATGCAGGGAGAGTTAATTTGAAAGAGAAAACCTGAATTAACAACCCAGAAAAGGAAACTGGTTGCAGCCACCGTTTTAAGCCCTTTAAGTGTCCTCAGCGGTACTTGAGCAAATTACTAAAGAAAATCTAATGTAGCAAGGCTTGGGTCCTCCTGTAGGCTTGCTCAATAATGCTGAAATAATTGGGCACTCTGTGCACGTTTAGTGATGCTCGAATGAAAAGCTAGAGGCCTGCCCTTGTACTCTTCTCTAGCGGCCGACTCTGTGTTGTGACAGGTTTATTTGAGTGGGACTGTGATGCATGCACCAGTAACTGCGCTGACAAGAGTTTAAAGTCATTTTTACCAGCACACTGGCAACACATAGAGAAAGCCCTCAAGAGGCTGGAATGGGTGTGCTTGACCTCAGCCGAGGCTACATCAAACTCTGCTACAGGAACTGCGGTGGGCAAGCCTTGTTGCCTCTTCTGAGTGGGAAGTGGAGGAGAGGAGGAGTTGGTGGTGAAGGAAGGACATTAAATGCATTCCTCAGTAGGAATCCCTTCAACTCAAACCCTGCTTAACAATATTGTATGACAATAAGTACTGAGTAATTCTCAGGTGAAATTTTGTAGTGACTGAATTTTAGTTATTGCCTTTAAAGAAATCACATTCCAGGCCTAACCTATGATAGCCAAACAGTCCCTTCTGTAATTTTCTTTCCAAGCAAAATTTCACAAAATATCTAGAGATAGGGACAGTGATAGAGAGACAGAGAGAGAGAGAGAGAGAGAGAGATCACTCCACCAAGAAAAATCTTGAAATGCTTTTATTAATACCTCAGAGAAAAAAAGTGGGCCTTTTTTTCTCCTCTCCAAATTAGGTTTATTTTCTTCCATTCCTGCATTTCTTCCTATGTTTGACCACAAAAGTCCATGTACAGTATTAACTAGCTCTTTTCTCTTACTGACCTGCACCTGTGTTCTGGCTACATGCACTTAAAATATAGTCAATAGAATAAAGTATGAACACTTTGAAAAGTAAGTTTACAAGCAGAAAATGGAAAATGGGAGCCACATCTAGATACTCCACCAACCAAGCCCCACCCATGCTCCAAGTCCTGCGGAAGCTTTTCTTAACTGGTTAGTTTTGAGATAAGGTGATTCTCTTCATTTAAGTGGCCAAAATCATGTTCATAATTCTTTACATACTGTTATTCAGTGGGGATCAAAAAGTATGCGCACACAATTATATTTCCTAACTGTGCAGAAAATAATGTCTATGAAGAAAATAAAATAGGGACTTGAAGTAAATATATGGCAAATTTGTTTCAAAATATTGTTCAACTGAAATTGCTCCAATTCTTTCTCCTCTGAATTCCCCTAATACACCATGTGTATGGTTTGGACACACAGTCACTTTCTACCTTAGATCAGAGGTCAATGGGCAGGCATTTATTAAGCTCCTGCATGCTCGTCTTTCTTACCTCCCTTCTTAGACTCTAAGCACTATGAGTCTACATCTCACAAATCCTAGCTAACTGCAGACCCTGAAATATTCACACATTATCTTGATAGTATTAAAAACACATCTATTACATTAGACAAAAAAAAAAAAAAAAGCCTGGTGCAGTGGTTCACGCCTGTAATCCCAACACTTTAGGAACTGAGGCAGTCAGATCACTTGAGCCAGGAGTTTGAGACCAGCCTAGGCAACGCGGCAAAATCCTGTGTCTACTAAAAATATAAAAATTAGCAAGGTATGGTGGCACACACCTATAATCCCAGCTACTCAGGAGGCTGAGGTAGGAAGATCACCTGAGCCAGTGAGGTGCAGTGAGCCATGACAGTGAGCCATGATTGCACTACTGCATCCCAGTCTATATGACAGAGTGAAACCCTGTCAGAAAAAAAAAAAAAAAAAAAAACCCTCAGCCAAAACCCAATACCTTTAAAGATTCAGGTGCGTCACTTTTATTCTTTTTCTCCTACAGGATAAAAAATAAGCACCGACTCATCGTTCCATTGGACCAGAACTTTTCAAAGGCAGAAATCTTAGTTATACATGACATTCTCTACCTGTGTTTTTTTCCCTAAATTCATATCCTTCTGTACCTTTTAGAACAACCTCCACATTACTTATCTAAGTTGTACTCACCTACCTCTGCTCAGCTTATGTTTCACCTGTTCCCTACAGCCTTCTCCAAGCAATCTAAGTTTCCAATATCTTATAGGGCTCCCTGTATCATTCACTGGCATATATTGCCTCATAAAGGTATTGTTATTCATCTGTTTACAGATAAGAAGATCCTGACTTGCCAGAGACTGTGAGACTTTGGAGAGAAGAGACCAGTCCCAGGCCTCTTAGTACCCGGGCACCTAGCTCAGTTCCCTAAACGTAGCGAGAACTCAATACAAAACTCTGATACTACTGAAAATAAAATACTTCTTTGATAGTTACTCTCTGGTTCCAAAAGCAACAGATCCCTTTTATCTAAAAACAAAAGTTCCAATTTCTTAGCAATCAAGACCTTTTGTAAACTACTATCAGCCTAACTCCACTCTACTGTGTAACACCATCCAGGGAACTCTCTGCCCGTAACACCAGCCTATTTAGTGAGACATCTAAACTAGGGCTTAGTTTTACTACGAATCAACACACACCCACAGAGTACTCTCTCATCTGTCTCTACGTGTATAAATTCTACTCATCCTTCTAAGCTAAACTCCTGCCTATTTTCTTGGTGAAGATATCCCTCATCACCCTGGCTCAAAGTAATCTCCACCACTGTCTCTCAATTCTGACACCACTTACCCTCAATACCATTATGATACTTAACAACCCAAGACAAAAAAAGACTTTTTAAATACATATATATGTGCTACGTGTGTGTGTGTGCACAAGTTTGTGTATGCCATACCTTCTAATTAGAGCTATTTAAAAAATATTTCCCACAGTGCCTAGATATTTCTCACTTAGTAGGTATGCAAACAGATTACCAACTAATATCAGCACTGATTTTATAAACTGATGAATTTTCACTGTATTTTCTTCCATAGGTTTCAATCTTTTGAATTTAAAATTAAACTAGAAGAAATAAAAAAGCTGCTTGTACTATAAGCCTTCATTTGGATACTTTAAGCAGTGATAATCTAAAAATGAGTAAAATTGTTATTTTTAGTGATCAAACATACAGAACTTGGTGCCCTCATAGGAAAAGTGCATTTATTTTTATTGTTGGTCTTTTAATTTTTAAATTCTTAATTATGAATTATAAATGGGCTTCAGTATAACTACCACTGAACTTCCCCTGAACTAATCAATGAACTCAAACTATGGTCATATTTCTACATATATTCAAAGCTTTTAATGACTTAAGCTTCTACTACATACAGAGTTCCCATATATTCTTTACCTACTTTTCACTAATGTTAACATTTTATATAACCACAGAATTTATCAAAACTAAGAAATTAACATCAGCTCATTGCTATTAGCCAAACTAGAGACTTTATGCAGATTTCCGTAGTTGTTCCACTAATGTCATTTTTCTGTCCCAGAATCCAAACCAGCATATAACACTGCATTTAGAGAGTCTTTTCCATTTGTTACTATACCAAAATTATAAAGCCCTTTCAAAGATTTTATGAATGGTAACAACCAAATTACAGGCAAACTGTTTAACAGTATATGCCCTGATCTTAAGGAAGAATAAATGAGAGGCAGCTACCATAAATTCATGTTTATCAGTCACCGTTTTATATATATACAAAATAGCAAACAGAAAAATTATACTCAGGCATCCTGTAGAAGGGAGCAATTTTTATCAAGTGTTTCAAAAATATTACACTATAAGATAAAATGAAATTAAGTCACCAAAAGGCATGAGACAAAAATGTAAGCTAGAGATATTAAAATATTACGGTAGGCTTTAAAATGTATACTTTAATAAATGAGACCCCTTTCTGTACTTAGGGGTCATTTTTAAGCTTCTTTGCAAATTTTCACCTTAGGAACTAGCCTAGAACTAGAGTAGCAGGTATTTTATAACTGATAAGGATTAGTCAATAAAACATATTAGAAAACATCTTTAAATAACAGCAGTAAGTCACCAATGGCTAAGTAGAACTTTACCTTTTTCTCAACTAAAATAAATGGACTTAATTTATTAAATGTCAAAAATTCATTAAAAATATTATTTCTATTAAGTCTTCTTATCAACAGAGGAACTCAGGATTCCCGGAAAAGGAGTAAGGTTTCCGTGGCTAGTATTCACGTAGCTGAGAGCACCATAATCTAATGGACTGCCCTACGATAAACTGAACGCTCACTGATGTTTCCCAACAGGGTTAAGTCAAAACTGCCCTCTGCCCTCTGCCCCATCTGTGTTAACTACAGAGCAATTAACCTGCCAAGATTTTACTGCTTTATCTTACAGTCCCACTAAGAAACATAAAACCCCATGCCTTTTAAAGACCAAAAGGAAGGGAAATGTATATTAAGAGTACACAGTATAACACAGATTTGTTACTGATGTAATTTAAGATACATTATAAACTAGCAGG